GTGGGGGGGGGAGTTGTTATGCTAATAAAAATAAGGCCAGAGTTTAAGTCAATGTAAGAGAAGATATTTATATGTGATTTTTTTTTTAAGTTAAAGAAATATGAGACATCAGGGCAGAGACATGAAGCAGGTGGTTCCTGGCCCCGGCCTTCTGCAGAAGGGAGGCCAGGGCTGCAACCTCCCTGCCTGGCAGGGTGACAGGCTTACAGGGTGACTGGCTATGTGACTTCAGGTACTTACTGGATCTCTCTGGGCTGATTTGCTTTCTTCTCAATGCAGCATAACAGTCTCCTCAAATCACACACCACAAATATACTAAGAATATACTGAGAAGGGTATCCACTCAACACCTGGAGGATGCTGAGGATCTTCCTCAGGTCTTTCCTTCTAGCATTCCCCAAATTGATTTAATTACGAACCTTTTTTTCAAGGCACTCTCCTGATCATGCAACATGCTTTGAGAAATGCTAAGTTTGTTTTATTCTCTTTAGCACCTTCTTCCTTAAAGGAAATGGCACCAGCATTTGATGTTTTCTTGAAGCGGTGGGGAGCACAAGCTAATTTAAAGTGATGCTAATTTTTGCTTTGTCTTTGGTCTCCCCTTCCCTGTTCCCAAGTCCTGGAGGGATTTGTGACATAGGAAGAAAACAGACATTGTTTGGAATTATTCTCCTTTCTGGTTCTTGGTGTTTGTTCAGGACACCTAACTTCACTGAAGGATGTATGCTCGAGACGGAGAGACGACCGGAGGCTGCAGGGCAGAGGAGCGGGAGTGTCCAGCTCCTAAGGAGGAGACCGTGGCCTGGGCTTCTTCCAGCAGCACCAGCTCCCAGAGCACCCAGAGACTTGGACATCTGAGGGGGCCGGGTGGGTGGGGACCCCTACCTCAGCGATGGCGCTGCTCAGATCCTGCCCTCAGCTGCCCTGGACAACTGTGCATTGTATCATCAGGAACTCCTGTGGGGTCAGGCACAGAGGCCTTCCCTGAGTGTTCTGCGCAGTCCCTGGGGAGTGTCCCAGGCACAGAAGGAGGTCCCTGGAGATAAATAAGATAAAAATTCCCACCACCTAGCAGGAAGGGAGTTATCAATCAGCCTTGGGTTTTGAAAATTAATTTCACATTTTTATGCATCTATACTGTAGAGTAAAACTCATGCCTACCGTATGTCCCGTGTACTACTCTTTCAAAAAAGAATGGTAGAACCACCATGTACCTATGATCTAGATGCCAAATTAACATTTTGATGTATCTGTTTTATCTAGCTCCCTGAAATTTTTGAGAGTCAGTAGATGTCATGAGCCTTTACCTCTAAATATTTTAGCATTCAGCACTCATCTCTAAAATAAAGACATGAACCACGAAAATCACAGACCCTTGTTACCTAAGAAGATCAAGTCGTTACTCACTATCTGCTAATACCTAGCAGGTATTCACATTTCCCTGCTCATCCACAAAATCTCTTTTGTAGCTGTATTTTCAAACAAGAATCCATACCTTTAGTTATAGATTTTTAATAGCTTTATTCATATATAATTTACATACCACACAATTCACCCGTTTAAGGTGTACAATGCAGTGGTTTTCAGTAAGACACCGAGTCCTCCTCTTTTCACCCAGAACAGTCACACCTTCTCACTTTTTAATGACGTTGACATTTCAAAAGGACCAGGCAGGTTGTCTTATAAGCTGTCCACTTTCAGGGTTTGTCTGATTATCTCCTCTTGTGCTGTGGTTAAACTTGCCTGTCTGTCCCTGTATCATCAAAAAAGTGGAAGTTTGCTCCAAGGCTCAACTGATTGTCTTTGGGTTGATAGGTTTGGTGATAGCTCATCAGCGTGGATCTGTACTTCCCATTACTGGTAATGTGAGATTAGATCAGCTCAGCAGGGGGTAGGTGACCACCATGTCTTGTTATTGTAACAGTGTTTCCTTTGCTCTTACAAGTGCACTGCCAGGTGACACTTCGATGCCCTGAAACTCTCCAGTTCTCCAAGAACCTGTCACCTCCACTGACGCTCCTTACCTGAGCCCATTAGTTTTTTGGGGGGTGCAAATGGCAATTTCTTTCACATTAATGAACATTATTTTTTCCACACTGATATGATGTCATTCTGCAAAAAGAGCCCTTCACTCACCAACTTGGGATCTAATCTCCTAGAAAGGGAAGTATTTTATTCTTTTCCATTAATAGCCACTTTTCAAGTAAGGAGTTGGTGTAGTAGTCACCTCCAAAACGGTGTGATTAATATAGTCTTTCTTTTCATCTTGAACATCACAATGGATTTATGGATTATTCAATGTAATACAATCAACTATGGTCATTATTCTTTTCAATAACAGTTTTGTTGAGATATTTTTTTTTTCATTCCCAAATTTACATTACTGATTTAGAGACATACATACATAAAAAGCCAGAAGAATAAATTAGATGAAAAGGCCAAGCCTAATAAAGCTTAGAGAACAATGTTTGGAGGACATTACAATGCATACATCTTCCAGCTAAACACATTGCTCTCCCCATATATGTGGTAAGCTGGTGAAATGCCGTCTCAAGGCCATCCATTTAGCTAATGATCTGCCTTGGTAAAATGGCACTTACAAACATATTTGTCAGCTGAACCTGGAAGATAGCTTGCCTTTTAAGAGCTTCCTGTGCGCCTGGCACAGCTGCATCTTCAATGTGAAGTGTGCCACTGAGATCCACCAAAACAGCTTTTAATGCACGGCGTGCTGCCATCCTTCATTCCCTAGGAGAGAGCAAATGAAATTAAAA